ATGGAACTCTACATCAGAACTTTGAATCCTTATCTCAAAGTCCCCGAGCTTCCAACTTCATAATGCTATAATTACTTTCGTGCTTACTAATTAGGAGGGCCTCCAGACACGTTACCTTACCTTTGAGAAACGCTTACATCGTGGATCCTATGTTGAAGTCATCGCATTCCTTGAATTCCACACTGCTGAAATCAATTCAGCAAAGGAGCTCGCACCGCCATGCCAAAATGCGCGCTACCCTTTTGCTCGCTAGCATCCAGGAGCCACTACGGCTGCCACAGCACTGTACATCAGCGTCGAACCTCTTGCACAAGATGGGCCTAGTGCATCTCAGATCAAGCCCCTTATGCAACTTCCACACTGCTAACAATCTCTTGTTGATCTGAGACCTTGCCCCTCTTGGCAGCCGACTCTCGAAAAATGACTCCGGCTTCCACTTGTTCCCGGAGCTCTCTGCTTCTTCCCCCCTTTGTTAGTCCATCAGCAATCTGATGGCGGGTGGGAACCCACAAAAGCAAGCTCTTGCACTGCGATCTTCGAGTGCTGAGCATCTGGCGGAGAAGCACGGCATGTACAACACTGGCCTTGTCGCTAATGTGCTGCCCGTCTTTGTGAACAGTATCATAGATAGACTTACAATCTGTAACCAGCGTCATCGGAACCAAATCATTCCATCCATCATCTTCGACACTACCCACAACCTCAGACCCGAACCTAAGCTCACTAGCCAACACCTGACAGAAATGTCCCATGCCCAAGGCCATAAGTGCAGCATGCGTTTCGGCAGCGAAGCTGGATTCAACAACTCGTTTGTTGGTGCTGCTTCTCCAGTCAAGAATGTTGATGTGACTCGGCGTACTCTTGATGTCAGTTGACCCTCGTTTCACGAATCCAACCACACCACCCTTCTGAGAGTACACCAGGCGTTTCTCGAAAGAAGATTGCAAAACGTCGTTAGCCTCCTGCTCGGAGATCTCTACCCCTACACTCGAATAAAGCCCCGCATCCGAGTAAACTACCAATTGAGCATCTCTTCCCAGGTCTTCAAAGACGATCTGCATCCGATGAAGCTTTGCCTCCCTAACGGCTTTATTTGCTCGTATCAAGTCTCCGACCCGCAAGTCAGCCACTCTCTTCTGCAGCTGATTCGTTTCAAAAGCCAAGTCAGGTCGAGATTGAGTCGCAAGCCATTGGAGACTCCCCACGACTGATCGAAAATTTCCACGCTCCTCCTCCGTGACATACAACTCAGGACTCCTTCTCCTTTCCCGCGACACCTCCATTTCCTCGAGACGACCGTCGATAAACCCGTCTTGAGACAAGGCAATCCGTTTCTTGCCTCCAACACTCTGTAGCCTGATTTCCTTGCCGCAGTACGTAACCCCGTTAGGCTTATCGGCCACCCGGTCCCATGTCCCGAAAGGAAACCTCTTTGCAAGAACTTCAGCAGTTTCCTGTGCCATCGCAGAACCATCATGACAGAACATTAAGTCGTCAACATGCACGACCATGGCCCCTATCAAGATTCCCTGTGGATCGCGAAGCATGAAAACTGCCGGGTCAATATATGACTTGCTGAAACCAAGCTCACCAGTGAGAACCCTAGCTAGCTCTTCATACCAAGCTCTCGGCGCATCCCGTCTCCCGTACACAGGTTTCAGCAGTCTAAGAAGCTGGTTGGGCTTCACACCCTCGAGTCCTTGCCTTGGCGGCTTCATGTACATGGGCTGCTTACCCACCAGCGGAGCCCCTTGCAGGAAGGCATTGCTAATATCCCCTATAAACCAGTTTTGGGTCCACCCGTAACTCACAGCCATGTGCAGAAAAAGCATCGTAGGAGAATCGACTTGAACCTGGCCCGTCTGAGCATCAGGGCACAGATGTCCTTGAAGACACAATCGAGCTTTTGCTCGAGTCGGGAGTGGTTGCCCTCGTTCATCTACAAGTCCCGCATTCTTATTCCTATACACATACCGGCTAGGGAGCACTCTATCGGGACTCTCTTTCATAACCCTAGCGCTTTCTTCTTCACTCAACACCTCACAACTATCATACTGCTTCCAGCTGTTCCATTCCTTTTCTTCTGCTTCCCTGTACAGCTCACGCTCGCTATGGGGAATCTTCTCGTAGGGGATTTCCTTATCCATCATGCGCTTAAGTTTGTTCTTACTCATGGGTTTCCCGTGAGCAACGGCATGAACAGCATGGGCTTCAGTGGCTTTGCTCTTCTGTTTCTTCATACTAAGAGGGACATCTTCTAAACACATCTCCCGCTTGGTCTTCCCTTGAAACACAGTGACAAGTATTTCCGCAGGCGCACGAAGCAGATAACTATTTGGATTATCAAGCTCCAGCCATCGAACTTCCTTTTCCAGGCAGTTCCACACCCCGTCAAATCTACCCCAAGTAGTCCGAAAAGGGTACTTCTGAAAATCAAGCTTGGCTTCAGGAGTTCGATAAGCCCATGCCTTCTGACTCACAACAACAGGATTACCGGCTTCATCCCTTTGCCAACCAGGAGTGTCAACCAGTTTCGCCAAGCTCCTAGGAAGGTCACTAAGCCCCTCATGAACATCCCCAACATCACTGGCCAGATCCTGCATGAAAGGTTGCTGTTCGACATCCAAAGGTTCTTCACTTGGGTCCTCTTGCATGGTAAGATCCTCAAAAGTGGCCTCCTTAGGGGTCTTCTTGAACAAGGCTATAGCTTTCTGGATTTGAGGGTCTCCGAAATGTTTCTCATCACCGCAAGCTTCACGCAAGTGCTCCCCGGCAACCAGAAAACATCTTCCCCCAACAGCCACCCAGGCATTCGATCCCTGTAACCCCACAACATAACCAGGGCCGACCCACTTGCAAGGCTCTTTCTTTCTCTCACTTCGCCAAAAGAAAACCATTTGCCCCACTCTAGGGTTGGTAATCTTCCTCACTCGATTATGGGCAGTACGAGCCAACATGTGTCTAGCTTGAGACCTAATGTACTCGAGCTTCGCATGATACCTATACTGCATACGCCTAGCGACTTCACTCCCGGGATCGCCTACTTGGGGGTGAAAAGCGTTTGGAGCACCTTCCTGATGCAACTCCCCAAACACCCTTGGTTCTTTACCAAACACAAGTGCAACAGGCGCCCAACCACGCTCACGCGCAAGAGTGTTCTTGGACCAAGCGACTTCTCTACCGACAGCCCTCATCTGCTCTCTCCCCTTAGGATTAGTTTGGCGAACCACCGTCCGAAGCATATCCTTGATAGTCTGGTTATGTCGCTCAACCTTGCCCGCTTGCCAGTGAGCTGTCCCTGCTATAGAGACCAGGGCCGAGCCTGCTTCGGAAACTTTTGTCCAAAACTCTTTCCCCCTGAAGCCCCCTTCAAAATCCACAGTCACTTGGAGTGGGGGCCCTGCCCATTTGGACCATGCTCGATCAAAGGCTTTGTTGAGTTCAACAGGACTATGGTCGCGCAAGAGCTCTATTGCATGATAGCTCGTAGCCCGATCCACAATGGACAGAAACCAATGGCTTTCCCTCATGTACACAAATGCAGTCCAGGTGGACCTCGTCTCCAAACGTAGCAGAACAAGGGGGAATGCTGGAAGCCCGATGGGTTTTGGGTTTACTAGAGTGTGCACACGACAAACACTGCATCCAATCCACTGCTTCAACTACTTCCTGCTTGGCGCCTCCTAAACGAAGAAAACGTTGCAAATCCTTCTTACTAGGATGACCAAGATTACAGTGGGCCTTCTTCAACCCTTCTTTAACCTCCGGGCTCAATTTACGTCCTGGGGGAATCTCAAACCTTATACCATCATGAGCCAAAGAGCTTCGCAACGGCTGATCAAGGTCTGCATCGCCTGGATCTTCAATCAGCTCCTCGTCTCCATCAGAGTCCTCCAGGGGGCTGGTCATGGGAGCATCAGGCTGTGGGGTGTCTTGATTTGACCCCGCAGCAAAAACGGTACTCCACCTAGCAAGGGCTTTGGCTATGTTCTTTTCATTCCATCGGAGATCGCGTACAAGCTCCCTCTGCTCACTGCTCCTAATGCGGGCCGCCACCTGTCAAAGCATACGCCTTATCCGACTAGGATCTTTCCGCCTCAGAGTCCTCACATATCCCTTGCAAATGGCGGCGGCAACTTTGCTGGAACCTTTATCAGGCCCTCCACCAGGAGCATGGCACCTCAGGGCAATCTCCTCACAGACCTCAACAGAAGTGCTCATCCACAGAGACGATCTCTGAAAACCCGGCAACGACTGGAAACATCCCTCAACCCCGTTGCTACTATCAACTACAACAGTGTACACTTCGGGATGATCGATTAGCTTCCTGACAGCCGTCTCTCTGAAAGAGCTGTTGCCCACAGGGCTTTCAGCAAGGGCATCGTCACCTCGACGGATTTGCTTGTCAAAAACTTGCTCAACAAACCCTAGGAAACCCTCATACTTAAGACACTTCTTGCGGGCTCTGCGTTTTTCCTGAGAGGACATGTCAAGGGTGCTTCCGCATGACAACCAAACCGCACGAGGACATGTCAAAACTACCAGTCGAGGCTGACAGCGATCGATCCACTCCAACAGTCGGCGTTGGCCATCAACATCATATCCAGCATCATCCGACCCTAAGCTCACAGGACGGGCAGCATTCCATCCCCAACGATCAAACTTTCGAGTAACTTGGGCTTCTCCACCAACAACTTCCAAAAGATCAGGTCTCACTATGGAGCCTTGGGGAATAGTCTGCATTGCCATTCCGACAGCAGCGCAAGATGCAATCAGCACACTTGCAGCAACCGCCTTCGCATTACCGAGAAGTCTCTTCACCGTACCCTTCTTAGCAACCCTACGACGCTCAGCACCCTCCAGAATACACTCACGCACACGTTTGGGACTTCTTGGTAATGACTCAGGCTTACAAGTCTTACAAGTCTCGCTATCGAAATCCTGCGCACGCCCACGCAGAGACGCTTGTCCTGCTGTGGCACACGCCTCAGAAGTGCTCGTCACTTCTCCTCGGCCGCCTTGGCCTTCCTCATGTCGTGGATCAGCTTCATCTCCTCGGGGGTCAGGTTGGTGTTGTACAAGGCCTTGTCCTTCTCGGCGTCCGTGCTCTCGTCGATTGGAACTCGCCCCGTCTGCACCCACGATCCATCTGACGAACCTGCTCGTTGCTCGTCCGATGTCTCTGGCAGCGGCCGCGACCCCACCAGAGTTCTCTTGGGCCCTGCCTTCCGAGTCTCGCCCTTCGTGCCCTTCTTGGTCGCAGTCTCGTGGGCCTCCTTCTGCGCGTTCAGCTGATCTTGTACTTCTTTGGTGGGTCGTCCCCCGTAAGTGAAGGGAAGTGTTTGGGTGCACAGGGGAAATCGGACGCATCCGAAAAAGTCCTCCTTGGTGAGACGATTCGTCCTCACCAAGAGAGGTATGTTGCATCTCGGACACATCGGGGTCTCCGAGTACACGTCCTCGGGCGGCTGATCCTCCATCACTTCGGCGAGCCACATTTCGATCTCCGTGACAAGCTGAGGACGGTTCCATCGCATCCAGTGCTTGTCGTTGGCTCGCCCGAGGTCTGGGCACACTTCCTTCTCGTAGATCTCCTTCAGAGCTGGCACATCGAGCTTCTTCCATCCCACCGGAAGAGGAGACTGCGGTTTCTTGGGCTTGACCATGCTCCAAATCAACTTCAAGCGTTCCACGTCGTGCTTCTTGAGCTCCTCCATGGCTACGTTGGTCCGAATGTGGATGGCGTGGATGTACTCGTCCTTCCTCTTCGGCGTGATGAACTTGCTGGCCATCACTTCTCCTGAGACCTCCTCCCTGAGGATCAAGATGCTTCACACTATCACTTTCTGGCTGAGCCACAGGTCTGCCATCTAAAGCATGCGGAGTACTCAAACAAATGCTTTGCACTCCATCCTGGGTTTTAAGTGGCTCCTGGATTTTGGATGAAGTGGTGCAAACGTTACTGCTATCCCCAAAGGTCCTGGTTGCCGGGACTTCTCTCAGCGGAAACCCCAGGCGGACAAGCTCGTCTCTCATGGTGTCGTCCATCTGCGGCTCGGATCTTGCCGTGTAGCAAGACAAACACCATCTCGTCCCTGTCCACGCCTGAGTTGCATGCTTCTGTTTCGGATTCAAGAAGTACGGCTGATTCCTCGTATCCACGTTGATACCCGAAAGCTTCTTGCCGTCTGCAACCTTCTTGACCGTATTCCCTTGACTCCCGTCGCTGGAACCTGCCACCCACACCTGCCCACCATCAAACTAACCAAACGACACTGTTGCAGTAAGAGAATCAGTAGCGTTATGAGCATCTGTGTGGATATTAGTTCGAACGTTCTTCAGCACAACAAGCGATGTCCAGGTATGTTCAACTTTCTCCCGCATGAACATGTTGATGTACTGAATGGTCAAGGGAAACTTCTGGGCTGTTTTAGCGACTCCAAAGAACCCACCATGCGCCCAGAGGCCAGCCATCATGCCGCGCCTTTGTTTGCGGTTACCTCCATTGATGCCTCTTTGTCGGGATTTGTCGACATCCGGGAGGTTCTCAACCACTTCTTGAAGGGCTTCATAAGAAAAGTTCTTTTCCTCAAGGAATTTAGCCGCCAACCCTTCACATCGGAGCTTGAGTTCAACCTTGGAGGGCATTATGTCCGGGCACAAATGAACTTCGCTGTCCTCAGTTTCCAAATCCTCCAAGAGGCAGCCAAACGAGACTTCCATCTCCCCATCTAGCATCCCCTGAGGTGGAAAATCCAACTGCCCAACATAGAGACTCTCAAGCTTGTTGATCTCGAAACCACACAACCCCGACTGAGTCTCAATCAGCGCCACTTCTGTTTCAAGTTCAACAAACTCCAGTCTGGCACGCCCCAAGTCCAGTCTTGCTCCCAGGGCTTTCAAGGCGTTTTTGCTGAGTAGTAAAGGAACATCTTGATCAACAACGCTCACCCTCAACCAGGGAACTGCACAGCCACCTCCAACATGCACCGGAAACACAACGCTGTACTGTGAAGCTATCCGGGGTCCGGCACCGAAGCGAAAGGGCCTGGCCTCGTCAACCACGTACACATCTACGCCAGCCTTGTGTAAATGAGCCATGTGCGCTTTCGCCCATTTTTCGCCCACAACAGATCGAGCGCAGCATGTGTCAGACAAAGCCAGCAAGAAATCGTGCTCATGTCCCTGACTCGAAATAGCACTCGCGCACCAGTGTTCCGACGCTGCATCTTCGATCTCCTGGCATGAGGCAAAGAAGACACTTGTTGCCGAGGGCATGAAGTCTTCATCCGAGTCCGACAGCTCATCCTCCACGACGGCCATCACGTTACTCCCCACGCCTTTGCTAGGCTTTTTGTGGTAGGGACACTCCGCATCGCCATGCCAATGCCCATAAACAGTTTTGCCATTTGCCTTGCAGGCCGAACATGGCATCTTCTGCTTCAGCTCGGCAATCCGTTTTGCCCGGGCATCTGGGGATTCTCCCTTGCCACTACTTTTGCCACTTACATTGCCAGATGAAAACCCACGTGCCTTCTCGACCTGGGCCCGTTTCCGAGCGGCTTGCGTCAGCAGCACTTGGAGCTCTTCTTCCAGCAACTCAGCTGGCACCTGGCCGTCATCAGACGCTGTACCAAAGTCGTTTTCAGCATCTTCTCCTTCTTCATCTTGAGTCGTGGCATGAACCTTAGCTGCCTTGCGCCATTGCTGGTTACCAGCGTTGGAGTGCTGGTGGCCACTGCCGTGTTGCTCCTCTTCTTTGTTCACCTGAGGAACAATGGCCATCACAGCGCTCCTGAGCTTCGCGTAATCGTATTGGCCTCCCGCTGCAGCTACGACCTGCTTTCTCAGCTCCGATGACAATCCGGCCTGCTCAAGAAACCAATAGGCACGGGTGACCCCTGAGAGACCCGCCCCTATCTCTTCCAGCCTTTGACCATGCCGTCGAAACTCCATGTCGTACGCCGCAAACTCCTGGCCCTTCGATCTACGAAAACCTTTGTAAAAGTCCGCCAGAGTCTGGAAAGTCCTTAAAAACTCCAGGGGCTCCAGCTCCTTCCACAGATGATCCAGCAGTCTCGACACGCCATCTGGATGCTTCAAGGACTCGAGTGGTATCGACTCCGTCGCCAACCAAGCATTCCCAGTCAGCTTCTCCATCAGCTTCTGAGCCCTGAAACTCGGATCTATTCCAGTGCTCATCTCAAACAGTTTGACCCGGCGCTGGTACTCCCGCATTGGGCCACTGCCATCGTACTCTGGAATGAAGTCCTTCCCACTCGCCTTAGGCGCCACAGCCCTTCCAGAAGATCCCCCGTCCTCGTCAAGGGACCCCGTGCCTTCTCCGCCTCCCCAGGTGTCGTCCTCCATGGTGGAGGCCGATGGTCTCCGGTAAGCATCACCGAATGTCTCGTCATCACCACCGCCTCCAGAGTTGCTCGTAGAACCTGTGGACCACGACTGCTGCTGTCCAGTCTTTTGCTGAGCATCTGAGTCGTTCCCCCAGGCGGTGTTCCTCCACTGCTCATCGCTCCACCCCGGAGCCCAAGTCCACGACCAGTTCCCGTAACCAGTCCCTTGCCATGAGCTCCCTGCATAAGAGCCCCACGCATTGCTTTGCTGCCACTGCCAAGGCTGCCGTCCCCACCCTGCCTGAGTAGAGGAAGTCTGCTCTGCCTGCTCCTGCCAAGGAGCTTCGGTAGCTTCACCCGCTGCTGTAGTCCCAGCCGCTGCCGCCATGGAAGCCCTGCTCCGCTCCCAATGCTGAAATCAATTCAGCAAAGGAGCTCGCACCGCCATGCCAAAATGCGCGCTACCCTTTTGCTCGCTAGCATCCAGGAGCCACTACGGCTGCCACAGCACTGTACATCAGCGTCGAACCTCTTGCACAAGATGGGCCTAGTGCATCTCAGATCAAGCCCCTTATGCAACTTCCACACACACAACGCACTACATCCCTACATGGCACGATCTTTGCGAACTCCCGATTTCAGCACTGCTTGATCAGTATCCCGAAATATCCCGAAGCCCCAAACTCCAAGTTGGACTTTTAGTATCCCTACCTATGGTGAATATACTCCTGCATGACTCCAAGTACCTTAGACCTTGGAAAGTATGGTGCTGTAGTAGACTAGGGTCATGCAGGACTTACTGTACATATCAGCCGTATCAATCTTCTTTCGTATTCAACATGGCAAGTTGCAGAGCTTGAACGACTCCAGGGCCTCAATGGCAGGGACTTCGTGCTTAGGGCAGGTACTCGGGATGATGTACGGATCAGGATGGAGAGACTAGGTATCAGAGCAAGTGTGGAGCTCAGGTCTCTCGAGTATGTTTGTGCGATTGGGGTTGAGGTGCGAGGGGCTCGGGCTTTACATGGCTTAGGGGAGGTGATGAGAGACAGGGATGTCACACAGGGGTACGACAAAGGCCTTTTACTAATGTTGACTCTCGAACCGAATGGAGGGGAATGCTTAAGTAGTAACACATAATACCAGCATAATGAATCGATTAGGATGCAGCCATACAGGTCTGATGAATATGGGGGGATCACGTCACCTTTAGTCAATCATGAATCAGGGGCCTTCAACAAGTTTTGGTCTTGGGCCTTTCCCTGCTTGAAGGACCCTGGAGCCGGGAACACACCACATCCCCATATGACACCCACAGTAACCCACGCGATTCGCTACCTCTAGGTCTGTCCATAAACAACGAAAGTTGAGTTGCAATATTTGGTAGTTTCCCAAAACAAGGGGACCCCACTATATAATCCTTATTATAGGGACCCCCAAAAAAGGTACCCCTACCTTTGGGGCCCCATTTGGGCCTTGCAAGAAGCTTTGAGAAGGACATCCTATGATCTAGTCACAGCACTGCAGGGGATGTGTATGTTTGGGTTCCATAAATACATTTAGTTAAATTGAGATCTCATAGGAACATGATAGGGGTTATTGGGGATCGAAGGGGAGTCAAAGCAACTGTGGCTTACTTCTACTTCATCGCCTGCAATATCAAGCCACCAGGTGAACCGACAGGTGCGGGGACACGGGCAAGATAGCAATCTATGAATACCTATGATGATTTGGCAAACTCCAACAGCAGAAGAACTGCAGGTGGAGGAAATCTTGCACCACCTTGTCAATACCTCAACATCTGAGATATCCAACTTTTTTTTCGGGGATCCTCGATTGTGCAAGATAAAACTCGAGGACTGTTTTGGGGTTTAGGGTTTAGGGGTCTTGGTCTACCTAAATGATCTTAGATAGATTCAGCTTGGAACCAGGCTGGTGTTGGAAAGGACGCCGTTGAAGGCCAGCACGAACTTGCCGGGCATCCAAGTGTCGTGCAGCGTCCTCCCAAAGACTTGCAGGTTTATGGGTAATTGAATCCCCCAACCCTATAAAGCCTAAACCGAATGTGTGTTTTTACAAAGGTTACCTTGTTTGTAACTCTACTAGCTACCCATGAGCTCCTGGAGTATGAGACAGCACATCACCTCAAACACCCCGGACCGCCCATGGGAATCAGCTTTGCAAATCACTTCCGCATAGATCTATCAAGCTTAGAGTCCCTAAGCCTTAACTACTGGAATGTCAAATGGAAAACGAAATGGAAATGGGGTTTATGTACTCAAAAACAAGAAGGAAACAGACCCTATAGATTTCAAAGAAATACCCGATATGATCCTCGTATGATGTATGCCATTGATACCCTTAAAGCCCGCATAATCTGCATAAAATTTGAGGTCCCGCAGACATTCTGTAAGGATTTCTCCAAATCCTGAGGGGCTGGCTGCGCCGTGGCTGGATGGTAGGAATTGAACTCAAACTGTGGGAGGATGCGCACCTGCCACGATTTACAGCTTAGAGTTCAGGATTTTGGATTCCGGGTTTAGGGCCAGAGCAAGACGGCATGTACTCCAAAATGTCCGTGTATGCAACTGTTACTTGTTGAAGCATGCTATACTCACGTGAGCATACACGAGCCATAGTCAATCAAAACTCCGAGAATCCCCCTTCATATCCCCTATAGTAGTCCCCTATCTAATCCCCCATATAGCCCCCTTGGTAGAGTTTAGCTTAGGGCTCACGCAACGACAGAACAGATACTGTATCGTACCCATACACGTAAGACACAAGTTCTTGCACATGTACGGCATCTATGCTTTCGAGGCCTAAGGAGTTGAAAGAACAACTATGGAACATTGGATTGCGGCGAAGAAACTAGAAACGGGATATCATATGCCCTTGCAGTCAGCTTTGGGGACGTTTATGGTACACATCGCCGGGCTTCAGGAGATTGATTGTTGTTGGTGTCGCGGGGCTCCCACCCTAAACCCTAAACCCTCAAGATGAGATAACCATTACCATTACCCAGGATCCCCGTTCTCATGTTGCCTATTTCCTAAACTCTAAAACTTTGCAGTTTGAAAAACAACATGACATCCCCAAACCCTGAGTAAATGGTAGTTTCCCCAAATAAGGGGACGCCAAGATTGACACCAATTTTTATGGTGACGCCAAGAAGGGTACCCTAATTTTGAAACCTTTTCCAAACATCTATGCTGTCCCACCTCCTTGGGGTAGATCTCCAAACTCAAGCCATGCCGGAACTTCTCCTTGGTTGCACAGTACCCTGGCCCAAGTAAAGGAACTTTCAGTTTGGTAGGGCTCTACCAGGCCCCCCAACTCTAAACCCTAAACCCTAAACCCCCAAAAAAAGGCTCACTTAGTTCACCGCCAAGTCTCAGAGTTGAATCTGAGAAGATCCCATATCATGGCAGCATTCTCCCACCTGGGTCGTGTAAACACAGAACTTCTTTTGACCAAGGCCCTGAAGAGTAGTTTCCATTTCATTTTCCACTATCCCAATATAACCCGGATATAACCCCAAAGTGAACCCCATATAACCCCTATATAACCCCTATATAGCCGTGTTTGCAGCAGGCAAAAATAGTTGCCTTCAAGCTGAACATCAGCGTGGTAATGAAACTAAGCGCTTCCATAATACTGTTTTGACCTTAATGGTATGGTCTCTAAGACTGACCCCAAGAAGCCCCTCAAACCCCCCTGCACCCAAGATCCCTATAGGCCATCCTACGTAGAGAAACCCCATCTATCAGCTGCTACCCACACCTATCGAGTGCTGTTCCAGGCCACCAAGGATGAGAAATCCATATTGAGTCCTGCGCAGCTCTTTTGGTGAGTGCTCACAAAATGGGGCCTTCGGGAACTAGGGATATAATATTAAAGGAAATACAGCGATGATGCGGAAAGCAATGCTTGGCAAACTCGTGGCTTCTACAAGCCAACCACCGCAGGTAAGAATCCTAGCGCTCGATTCGGTATGCGCCAGCGCCTCGCATTCTAGTAGCTTGTCATGAAACATTTGAAAGAATCTCCGCCACCTTGCCTGGATATCCGGTTTCTCAGTCAGACAGCAGGCAAACGAAGTCAGGAATGCAAGCAGCGATGAGAGCCGGTTCCAACCAACCAATGCACCACCTGCTTTTGTCTTCCGCCTTCAATCCTTGCTACTCTTAACTTCAAATTCCACTCTCTGGCCCTATTTTGGAACCAGCCCCCATTCCATCAACAAAGCAGGAAGCTCAGGTACTCTGCACAATCTTCTAATCTTCCTGCAAAATCACTATATAATCTTGTTCTACAGAATCCCTTCATGGTCCCTGCATAGTTCCTGCGGAAACCCAGAACGCGATTGAGGGTTAAGGGCTTAGTCCCTGAAACATTAACTACTTGCCCGTTTGGAAGTTCATTTGCAGAAAACCCAGACCACATAACTGATGGAATGTCATGTTGCGCTGACTTTCATGCAGAGACCCCCTAATGTGGTTCGGGTGCCGCTTGAAGAGTTTAGGCATATGGTTGGAACCGTCTTAAACCCTAAACCCTAAATCTCTTTTTCAGGGTGTGCAACATCATCCCAGACTCTATTACAGTGTTGGGGATGATTCGAGGAACATCTGGGCACCCCATGTATCCCTGCGGGAGGCCTACGTACCCAATAAAAGATTCGTGCCATGTATGCCTAGACCCCAAACCCCAAGCCCTATAGTCCCCCTTAAGTAGATAGAATATGAGGTAATATACGGTATATGGGGATCTTATTCAAATATGCTATACCCAAAGCCATGTTCTATCTAGGTACCCGAGGGGGACTATAACCCTAAACACCTTGATGCACCCCGGCGTCTCCTGCTTCCCCCAGACGCGGCGCAGGAAGTTCCGACTCCAGTCGGATCGCCGCAGAAGAAAGGCTCCAGTGTTCAACATGGCCGCATCCTCGACTTGCAGCTTAGGGTTTAGGATCTAGGGTTTAGGATCTAGGGTTTAGGATCCAGGGTTTAGGATTTAGGGTTTGGGCTTTAGGGTTTAGGATTTAGGATTTATGGTTTGGGCTTCAAGGTATCAGGAGACGGCATAGGGTAACAGAAGATTAGATAAGCAGGGTTATATAGGGGTCCTATAGGACTTAGAGATATCATCGCAATAATCGAGAAGTAGCTGGAAACCAAAATGGAACATGAAATGGTAACTGAAATAATCTCTGGGTTTAAGTCTCACTGGTTGTTCGGGAACGGGCAGCGGCCAGGAAAGCGGAAACCTCTATACTATAGGGTTTAATGTTAGTAGGGCATGAGGGAATTGAAAAGTGCTTTCAGGTTCCTGCGTGTAGGATATAAAGTCCTGCAGGGTCAAAGGTTCAGGGTGTAGTTGTTTGGGGTCTATGGTTCAAGGTCTAATTTGGAGCTTGTCTAGACGAAATTGGGAAATCAGAAAAACGCAACACATGCGACCTAAACCCTAAGCCCAGAAGAAGGTTGTGTGGTCCTAAGCAGGGATTACTAAGATCTTAGGTGTCATGGAGCCGCTTTTCGAAGCAGGGCTTGAAACATTAAACCCAAAACAGACATCACACATAACGCGCAAATATGAGGACCCTAACTATAGAAGTAGCTCACGCCCCCTTGTATTGCATAAACCCCTTACTCACCTCCGTATTCACAAGATCCCGAAAGTACCAACCCCCAAAGAAAGGAGCGCCGTTTGAACCATAGTCTAAACTCCTAGTATCCCTCTTGATAACAAGAATACTAGTGGCCTATGTAATCCCCGAAATAACCCCCTTTGAGGAGTTTAGACTATAGCTCATTTGAGTAGTGTTTTTTTTGGTGGTTAAACCTAGTAACATTAGATTCCTTATATAAAATACTATACCCCAAAAGGAGGATATAATCTTACTCTATATTGGGTAACATAGTATCCCCAAATAAAATACTATACATTTAAGGAGCCCCCAATGAGCCTCTGCGGCCAGCAAGTGGATGTCATCATCGACTTCCCGGTCGGGAGCTGCTGCATAGCGATAGAGCAAGGAGTCCAGGGTCACCTTTGCTAGCTTTTTAAAGGGATGAAGGAATGGGTTACATGGAGCATTGTGAGGGTTCATTCCTTCATTCCCAAATTACCAAACACCTTTAAGTGTTGGGTTCATTCAAGGCCCACCCTACAGCCCAAAGCCTAAACCCTAAATTGAAACCACAATCAATGTTGCAGGCTTTTGGTTGGGTCATAGGGTTTAGGATTTAGGACTAAGGGTTTGGGGTTTAGAGTTTTGTGTTTAGGGTTTAGAGTTTAGGGCCTTAGGTTTAAGGTTTAGGGGCAGGGCTACGTGGCTTCAAATCGTGGGCTCTACAAATTGTAATTTACAAACGCCCATAAAGATAGCTGAGAGATGATTACGGTCAACATACTCTACCTCTGTGTCATAGCTGTGGAAATCATAACATGGGGGGGCGCTGATAACAAGGATGGCCAAAGGAAAAACTCTAAACCCTAAACCCCAATCATTCCTGCACATGTGAATTTCTCAAGAGTAGGGACTGCTGGCCAAGGCCATTTGAAGCATGCCTGCTATGGCGTAAATACTTGGTGCACTGGTCATATTTTGCCACAGTGTATCGGGCACGTTGCAGTCACCGAGCAGTGTTCTGCACACCACGCCTGGCAAGCAACCTTCGAGTTGGCTGAAAAAAGTTTTTTATGTCGCGCAAACTACTTTCCTGTAAAGTGTAATTGGACGGTTTTATGATTTGGGCATCGATGCTCTGGTAATCGTAATCTTTCGAACGTGGACGGTATTATGGTTCGGGCATTGTTTGGTAATCGTGTGCTTTCGAACAGGGACGTTATTAGCGCTTGGGCCTGGATGCTCTGGTAATTGTATTTAAACAACAAGCCGAGAATGCCAAGAGATCCCTTAAATCCCCGAGAAATCCACGCAAACCTGAAAAATCCCGAAACACTGTGGCAAAATATAACCCGTGCTCCAGCTACTTAGGCCCCCCATCACAAGGTTGCGAGCGCGTCAAGGTCATGTTGTTAGCGGGGTAGTGGTAGTAATAGTACTAGTGCTAGTACTAGTGCTAGTAATAGTACTAGTAATAGCAATAGTAACAGTAATCATTCTGACTCTTCAGGCTCCTCGAGTGTCACCCATGAAAAGGCTCCCACAGGATTTAGGACTTAGGGTTTAGTCTGCTTCACACATTATGTGATATCTAAGCTGCGCTCATGTTCATGAAGAACGTGTCGCAGTCAAACCACAGCCACCAATCCACATCAGGCTCCTCCAGCTGATCCAGGACGTATGAAACCCTCATGAAGGAATCAGGGTGCTTGCTTCAGGCCACATGTACAAACTGCCTGACCGACTTTGCTTCAGCCCTCACCAAATGCAAACGACTTCAAAGCAACCTACCCTGTAGTCCAGGGACTTCAGATCAAACTCATCAAACTCCGCAGACGCAACGCGGAGGGGGCAATAAGTAAACCAAGTGCACAGTAGGGTTTGGGTTTACGGATTGTTTCCCATCTTGCAAACCTCACTGAGCCCCATGTCATGGGTCAACCGTAATCAAAGCAACATGTCAGTTCCAAGCATGCCAAGGACTTGAAATCTCATGGACAGTTTCAGACCTGAGCTAGAGTCTAAACTCCTTAAAGGGGCTTATATAGGGGAATCAGTATATATATATATACATACATATATATATATATGTAGTTTAGGGATTAGGGATTAGGGTTTAGGGTCTAAACTCCTTAAAGGGGGTTATATAGGGGAGTATCATACGGGTCATAAAGGGGGAAACTAGGAGTTTAGACTCTAGCTCGTAATTATGACGACACGTACACGAGAAATGGTTGTAGCTATGGTTATCCTATTTTGTAGCCTCCCCATGACCATCTCGAAATGATACAGATGGCGCAGTAAGCACTCAATTCTGGTTCCTTGAACCCAGCCTCGCAAGGCTCGAAAACTGTCATGGGTCCGCTCATTACTGTTGGATCCCGATGCTAAGATCCTACCAACCAAAATCTTGCCCGCAACTGCCAACATCGATGCAAGGCCACACCAACAGGAGAACATCTAGACCAAATCGTCGCCTCCAAGCACCGCAAGTTTGAAAAACGAGCGCCTTCTTCACATTGCCCTCAGGTATGTTCTGAGAAACATACATTTACCAGCCTTGTAGCACTTTGCACCCAAAAATGCGAGTTCGTGCCCCAGTACCCCCACCCCACCCCAGCGCCTCGTCGAGGACCTGCTGCAGCAGCCGCACTTTACCCCAGGCTGGAGGTCGCTCCGGAGCCAAATTTTGCTTCTCCAGGCGGTATCCTCCAGATCTGGATTACCACCCCAAACCAAAGGCCAACAGCTGACTTAGACAGGTACCCTCGCACGTTGTTATTGCTCAGGTGGTCACCAACATCGCATTCTATCACGTATACATATATGCACAATTCTTTGAACCATATCTCACATAGAGACCAAGGACCCCTTGGTACTTTTTCAAAGACTACAGGAAGGTTTGCGGCTAAAGAAAATGGAAACAACTATAGTATATTATGGTATATATTGGGATTATATAGAGATAATGGAAAAGAAAATGGAAACTACTATGTTATAATAGGGTATATATTGGGGTTATATTATGGGGACTTAGTAAGTAAGTTAATAATGGAAAAGAAAATGGAAACTACTATTTAGGGTTTAGGGTTTAGGGTTCTTGCATCTTTTTTTCAGCTTCTGATTTACCGGCTCCTGGCTCATTCCGGAGGCTCATAGCCTAGAACCCCAAAGAGGCGGGCACAGTATGTCTTACAGGCCCTAAAATCTACCAAACAAACATGAAATCTGGTCCTCTTGACAGAGATCTTGTGGTGTAGTTCAAAACTACTATTGGTACTAAATTACTAAAATTCCTGCATGACCTTGATATACCACGAGGATTTTTAGCGTCAACCGTAGTGTAGGCTAGGGTGGGGCAATTTAGGATAATTTCAATTCCCAATTTAAGGCCATTTGTGTACCATTCCCTGTGTAAACCACCATTTAGGGTGAGATTGGGTGAGCTTGCTTTAAATTGACCTCTTGAAGGGGCTCATCCGGCTGAGCGTCGATAGCCGTGCCGAGCGGCATACGTCCGGTGATTGGAGGCCGCATACCGAGGCAGCGGGTTTCCGGGAGGATAGGCGCCTTAACTTAAGGGAGTTTTCAGCTCATGGCCTTAATATGGGGGAAACTACACGCCTGAAACTTTCTTGACACAACTCTACAAGCGGCTGATATGAAAGCGGCCAAACTTCTGGGCAATAGGTTTGGAACGTCCTGTATTCAGGACTCTGTAGTGCGTCGAGTGCACGTGGGAACTTAATCCCTAATTAAGTCTACAACACAAAGCATGGCTTGACAAGTAACGGACCAAAACACATGTTATTCGACTTCCTTTAAACTGATCCACCGGCTTCAGATCTGTCAGACCTTGCAGATAACTTGGGTCATGGCACACACTGGCAATGCCAATCTTCAAGCCAGCATCTCGCCAGCCTTCAGCAGGTAAGCAAAGGAACTGCACAGCGCGAGGCCAGCAAAAAAAATCCGACGAGCCCCGGTTTTCTATGCAACAGTCCTTTTCTGCTGCTCTTTCGTTCTGTGGCAGTGTACAAATCGGATTGCCTAAAGCGTGCTAACAGTGAGAAGGATCGCGCACGTGCGGGTCGCCTTCCTGATAAGTGATAGTAGCTGTTGCCTTTGTCTGGCCTTCTACGAGGACCCACGAAATTCTGATGACAGTTTGCAACGTCATCGATATTACTGCCTGTAGTAGTTGGAACAAGTGGCTCGTTCACTACCAACCCCAACCACACAACAAGCGGAGAGAGCCGAATACCTCGAACCTGCAGCACCCCAATCATCACCAGTACGTGTAATATCAAGGACTAGATCGTATTTCAACTATGACGATGGCCCTTTATACCACAGCTGTTATCCTGTAATCGTCTTGACCATCCACCACCAACCCAACCCCACATTTGGGGGGAAGGTGGAAATGCTTGAAATCTTGAGCCAGCCGCGCTCACAGGGGACGTGAGGGGGGACACTTTTGCCTCTTTCGTTGTTCTGTCCTCACGTCTTGAGGAATATCATGCAGTGGACAGTAAAAGGGGAGGCAGGGGGGGCTATGGCAAACGTACAACATCCATGGTTCCTTCATGTTGCTGCAAGACATCCTGCACTATGCTGAATACCCTATCCCGACAGGAATTCAAGAGTTTGCCTCCATCCACTGTATAAGGCCTGCCGAGCCCTCTGAGGCTAGGACTATGAAGGGTCTCCGTGTGCGTTCGCCTTTTCGGTGCTGGCACTTTTGCTGAGGCAGAGGGGCTAGGGTATGTTTGAAGAGCCTGTAACCATAGCGGGGATACAATTAGAATAAGGACCCCAAATGCTATGATGCTTACTATGGTGACCCCGAAAAAGGTACTCCAATTTTTGGAAACCCCTCATACATGAGGCAGCCAGAATGAGCCCCGGGCATTGTTCCCAGGTCTGCTTTGGCTGCAGCTAGCTTGGTCTGTACCACATGCATCTCGACGTTCAGCTCCTCACATGAGCTATAGTTTGAACTCCTAGTATCCCCATGAATAACCCCTACAGTATAATAGTCCCCTACATCATCCCCTATATAACCCCCGTTGAGGAGCTCAGAACATGAATGATCAGCACTTTGCGGCGCCCTCCTATCCGGAGCTTGCGTGCAATACTACATAAAACTATATCTGTTCGCTATACATAACTGCATGGCAGTTTCCCTAAATAGGGGGCCCAATATAGACCCGACTATACGTAGTCCTTATTATAAGACCCCGAAAACGGTACGGCTGATTGTTGCAAACCCCCGTATCAATCCGCTGGAAACTTCCAGTAGGGGCCCTGTAGATGGTCTCCTTGAGGCCAATGGGCCAAGCAGAGTCGTCTATGTAGGAGCGGTCATAGTATGCCCAACCCTCTCCGGGCCCACCTCCCTCCTGTGCATGGATGCTTGCTGGGGCTATGCCTGGGGCAGGTATGATGACACAAGGACCCGCTGTGACCTAGGAGTACAAAGAGGGCCCGTATTTTTCAGTATAACCTAGCTTGTCATGAGGAACCTAGGACCCAACAAAGGGGAAAAGGAGGGGGTCTACAGCAGAACCCAGTACGACTAGTTTGTTCTTCATTTGGTATACTTTTAGGCCTTCTACCGTGTAGGTACATGTTCGGCTGCAACGACAAAGTCAAGCTGAAATAAACTGCTCCTCTCGCCGGGCAAACTTCTCCCAAACATGAGTCACCTCGGTGACCGCATGTGATGGCACCAGGAACCCTGGAGCCCGACTGCCCTTTGCGGCCTTGTAGTTTCCACTTTCCGTCTATGACAGAATGGCTTTTGTCCACTGTTCTGCGCACGCTCGCACAGGAAGCCAAATCATCCAAGTCGCCCACACATTGGCCAAATGCTGGAAGCGAAGTGCCACGTGATGCTGCCGCAGGTCATGGTTGGCCGAGGCAGCATCCTGCATGGGTTCACTACTGGTGGTTTGTAGAGAATAAGATAATATCATCCCTATGTATTCCCCATTAATCTAATGTACTTCCTTATGCTCTACTACCCCCGTAAGTTTAGGGTTTAAGGTAGTCAATCTTGCAAAGAAGGGGGGTCCTCCAAATTCACGAGGGCGAGTATGCGGTAGAGAGCGGCCACACCTGGCTGAAGAACTCTGAGAGCCGTGGTTTTGGGTCCAGGGTTTGGAATCCCCCTTAAGTACATCGAATATGGCTTTGGTATAATATAATTGGATCCCCACATATCCCGTATTCTATCTACTTAAGGGGATCTATAGGGTTTAGAGTTTGGGGTCTAGGCTTTCCCTTATACCTGAAGATCTGCTGCTCTGCACCTGAATTCACCACTCGGATGCCTCCACAGCTTCGGCCTCGATGCTGTAACTATTCATTCAGGGACTTCTTACAATTAACCTAAACTCCAAACCCTAAACCCAAAGTCCTGAACCCTAACCCTACATAGGATACCCCTATACACCCCCCCACTCTTCGAAACGACATATCCAAAAAACAATTGTTGCATCCGTGCTCGCTCCATAAACCCTCAAGTTACATCCGTAAACCCATACTCTGCCTCCCAAGACCCGAAACCTTAAATAAATCCTATATTCATTCATCATTGCACATACCTCC